GTGGTCCACTTGACTACACTGGGGGTGCCTACATGAGTAATCGGTGTGGATGTCGACCCATGCAAATGTAGTATGAGATATGCTACCTGCTGCTACAGTTACCGGCATCAGCAGCAATGATGCCATAAGTAAGTGGTGGGGCCTCATTTTGTACCGTGCACATGAATTCGCCAAGAATTCAGATGATGCTCCTAAAGAGGATGGCAGGCAAAGAAGGCATCAAATTGGATCCAGTGGATATCGACTGAAAGCACAGCCCAGCAATGTGACACGTAATCTTGCACCGGTCTATCACTCAAATGATGTCGACGTCTTGATGCCGATCGCTAAAGACGAATTGTTATTGGCATTTCTGGTAGTGGTGGTTTTTCACCCCATAGAACGTGCTTTTGTATATGTGAACATACAATTTGCATGATAAATGCATAATTCGGTCCTTGGTGGAACTGTACAAGATTAGCACAATGCATTTGCTTTTGAACTCGAGAATTCTTGATCTGTGAAAAGTTACCACAAATGCTGCACTCGAATGATGCAGCCACACTGACAGGTCTCTTCGTGTTTCATGCTTCTAGATCGGAGGATACGTGGCTGAGTGTAGACAGGGGAAGGTTTTGTTTTCCGCCTTTTGTTGATCTTAACTTCCCACTTCCACCATTGTTCTCTTAACACGATTTTACTACTTGAGCTGGCGCGTCACGTATATGTGACGCCTATGTTTTAAAAGAAGGAAGGTAGATCGAATGAAGGGAAATGCGCCAATGGTCATACATGCCGTGACAGTAGAACACAGTGGTTGGTGACTACTTTCTTCTGTTGTTACATTCATTTATTTACTCGACGGCGGCCGTAAGGATGAAAGTTTTAGCTCGATGCCTCGTACGCAGTTGTAGCGACTCTCTCTTATGGGGTACGATAGTCGGATCTCTCTTCGGTGCCTTTTTGGTGATATTGGGCGTTGGATCATTGGCCTAATTCCGTTGTCTCCTGCATCGTCGCAAGCAATCACCATCGGTAGTTGACGAGGTACACGGCGTTCTGTCGCCACCGCCGTCACTACCGCCAAATTTAGCTAACGCAGGGTTCTACGCGCCTGCCCTGGATTTGCGTGTGCCCACCTACCCGGAGTCCGTACCAAAGCCTTGAGTGTCGTCTCCAGTATTCAGTGTAGTCACTTCCATTTTTTGCAACAATTCGCAAGTTAGAATCGACGACATGGTGAGTTTACGCCTTTGAATACTGTCTGGTGGTTATGGTACATTCTGTAAGCCTGTAGCATGAAGCACTGAAATGGTCGGTCTTTTTCTTCTGGCAGCGATTCCGCGAGGAACAGCCCAAGACTGCCCAAATCTACAATGTCTTCCAACTGCAATTGCATTTGATTTGGAGTTTTGTTATTCAATTATTAATATTATTATTTTCTTCATTATTCCAACGCAATAACACTAAGCTTTGTCGTTTCTTTATGCTGTCCTTCCTTACTGCATTGCTTTTTGCGTAGGGTAAATCCTTGTTGATAGGAGCACTGTGGAAGGTAGAAGCAACTTGGTACGGTTTCTTCTCTTTTCTGTATTATCAAGATAATGGGCTTTAGAATTTGTGCTATTTTCCTTTGGTATATGTGTAATGCATTTCTCTTGTACATCATGGCGACAACGGCTTGGAAGGAGGGAAAGGGGAATGTGCGGGCCTTGGTTTTTCACTCCACTAGTGCTTCATGACCTGGCATTGTGTCCTCTCTGGCAGTGTTCTGCATTGCTTTTGCAAGGCAGTTTCTCCTAATGGCAGCATAGAGTGGGACCATGATGAAAAATACTGAGAGATTTAGGAATAGGGAA